GTATATGGTTTGCTGCTGTGTTTGACATTATTACCGTCCTGCATAAATTCATTTGTTCAATGCATAATGGAATAATTTAAGATCCATCCAACATGTTTTTTTTTTCTTTTTGCAAATTCARTAGACTTAGAGAAGATTTCCAAGGCCTTGGTTCCCACCTGAAAAATGGTGGAATCCACATTTCAGATCAGGCGTGTTTTTGAGCAAGTATGTTAATAAAGTGTTGATCATCAACTCATTTCAACACACATCATTGCTTTAGACGTCCTTTAGTTGGAGACACTACCCAGTCAAAGTGGAACATTTTTAAACAGTAATATGCTAGATTAATATAAACATTACATGATAAATAATTAAACAAACAACTGAACACATTCCACATCAGTGATTGGAGCTGGAAACATTTTACGAGAAAAAAAAAAACAAAAAACTTTTAAAGGTTTAATTCTACAAAACTCTTTGTTAAATAGGAAGACTGTTGTGTACAGTTTGCCTCCAGGTGCTGCACTTTGAGTGACATTGAGCATGTGCTTRGGCTCTCTTCTTCTCATATGCCTCATATGCTCTCATATGCCTGAGTATCTCTCCAAATCTTCTCCTCCCCCCTTTTTAAATCATGCAAGGTATCATTTTGTTGTAATGTATTCAACTCTGATCGTTGCCAAGGAGATACTCTTTGAATCATCCTACTGCAAAAGTCACCGAATCGTTCTCCCTTCCTTCACAGTGCTGAACATTTTTTGTATTTTTTTTTTAATTTTTTGTGTGCTGTTGCAGTTCCCTGCGTTCTTTGATTGGTAATGCATCTAGATGCGTATCTGATTTCAATGAAACCCCATGCTTGGTACGTCAGCTTGCCATGATGTCATGTGCTTACCCCGTCCCCCACCCCTCTGACTCTTTTAGTGATTTGTAACACAGCAAGAGAAACTTCCCGGAGGGAGAAYTAATCAACTCTAATGTAGCAGCAGAACTGTTTCTAACTACTGAAATTTATTAGCGGTGAAAACTCGTCATCAACTCACAACTTGCAACGAACCGTGGAGAAAAAAACAAGAAGTATCCCAATATTTCTCACTTGTGAACTTGTCAGTGTGGATGTATTAAGGGTTTATAACAGTTGAGTAATCCTGCTGTCACTGAGAGAAGAGGGATGTTTTTGCATTTGCTATGATATTGGAGTGATCCATCGTCTGCCTGTCACTTTATAATGTCACAGCCAACAGCACCCACCAGCCTCATCCGTGCTGTGGGTTAATGCTAACTTCCTTGGGGGGGTCAAAGGTTGTGTCATTTTTCTTTTCAACCTTTTGTCAGTTTTCATTTGCCCAAGCTTATTTTTGCCTGTTTTATCTCAGCTGCACTAAGCTGCATCACATCACCAAGAAACAAGTTGAGAAAGAAAGAAATCGCAGTCTGACAGTCCCTTCAAGGCATCAGAATGAAAAATGAGCACTCTTCCAGATGGTGCGCTGTGTAATTGTGGTTTGATGATTGTTTGTGATTAAAATGCCAACTTTTTAGACTATCATTAAAACAATCAAAGCTCTTATGCAATTTACTGGATGTAGATGCTTTTTGTTTATATTTAATTTTTGTGCTATCAAGCGTACATATAAAATTGTTGACAACTAAAGTGCTTAAAACTAAACTTTTATTGCTTAGCTCGCTCTATGTAAATGCAGGGAATGAGCTTTGGACAGCCTAAATGTTTRATTTTCTAACATAGTTATTTATCAAAATTTAGATGTAAAAATGMAAAATAAGAACAGAGGTGGGTTGTCTCGTAAAAATACAACCAAATATCACTCAGTACATGAGTAAATCTAGGGATYAGTGCTGTGAATTAGCCATGGCTATAAACATTGTAATGGAGGCTTCAGATTGTCTTGATCTAAGTTTCTTGTATATGGC